GGGGGAATGAGATTGCGCGTAACGAGAAATTGTTTCGAGGCGGATGAAGACGAAGCGGAACGGTGCGAAGTCGTCGCTAGAAAGAGTCAAAGAGAAATCAGTCCGGTTTTTCGGTTCTGTAACGGTCAAGGAAAATGGGATCGTGACGTTTCGGAATAGCGAATATTCCGACTGAGCAATTTCGAACGGTTAATCAAGTTTTTGTTGTTATGGGAAAACAAAACGTCGTCCGTCTACGTAAAGATACATATATTCTATGCGGAAAAGCGAATCGATTGAAATCTTGTTCGAATCTGAATTGTGAAATTCTGAAATTCCAAAATGTTCGTAAATAGTTAATGAAATATAGTGAAACTTATCTTGGACACGAGAACTTGAAGACGAAGAGATAAGCGGGATTTTGGTGGTTATCTCTGCGCGCGTTGCTCATTCGGAAAATTCTGGATCGGTTTTTTTTTTTTATGGACTTGAAATAAGTTGTCGCAAATAATGTATCGATGTTGACCGATCGAAAGAAAATCGATAGTTTAAATCGCGTGGTATGGAAAATTAGAAAAAGGAAATCGTTCGGTTTTTTAGGAACCGTTGAAAATTTAGTACGCGTTACGGAGGAGAACGTTGCGCGACGCAACCGATCGAAAGCTGGCGAAATAGCGAAATTTCGGAAAAGCGAAAATTCCTGAATTAATCGTCGCGCCTGTCGCTTGGTCGCTGCCGCTGATACGGCTGCCATGCTGCGGCGTCTCGCGTCGTCGTTCGCGGCTGTTCATTCGCGTGTCGGACGTCGTCGAGGTAGGACGCTTCGCTGCTGTCGCTCTCGCGCTTCTCGTTCTCTTCGTCTTCTTCGGTGACGACGCGTTCACGACGGAAAGGAGACTCTGCTTAGCATCGAAGGTACGGTATTGGGTTCGGAAGTGTAGCGCCGTTTTTATTATTGATTCACCGGTCGAACAGTACGGTGAACGCGTGTGGACGTAACTCGATAACTGAAACGAGTTACAGACATTTGTCAATAGCGATAATCCTTTATTAACCTCGTGGAAAAATGATTCGTCACCGAACATATAGTTGAATAGAAAAGTCGTAACCGCAAATTGCTCGGGAAATTCGATGGTACGCGATCCCAACACGTTGGCGCGTTTGACATTATTTTTTTGCCTGAAATTCGCTCGCGTCTGGTCGTCGCGACCGACGTCGGAACTTTCGCGATCATCATGAATATTACCGATTCGAAAACAGTGCGTGTACGCGTGTGCGAAAATTATAAGTAGCTTAATTCCGCGAATCGCGTTTTCGTTGGTTGAAATTCGATTAATATTAATCGTTGCTCGTTTCATCGAATACGGAATTGAATTCGGCAAGGCAAAATGGTACGTCCGAAAAGAGCGTCGAATTCTTAACGGTCCGCGTACCGCGTAAAACTCGATATACATACACTGGATTAAAGGTCGATGTATACTAGACAACGTGATTTCCCCCTCCACCTTCCTTTTCCCAACATACGTTCAATCTTCTATGCGTAATCCGCATTCGGACATTGAAACGTTACGATCGCGTTATTTCATCGTATCGTCATTGTACGTTCTTTGCGCGAACGCTAAGTAGTTGGGTATTCTTTAAAAGTGAACAACTCGGTGCAAAACGCATAGCATATAAATCGTAAACCGTACATTGTATAGGATCAAGCAGATCGATAGTGACGCATGTACCGGAAATTTTCCGATAACGGATACAGCGAGCGAATTCGGGAGCGTTTCGTCCTCGTACTGTTACGAGCGTATCTGGCTGTTAGCTATTCAGACCAATAGAACAGCATGTACAACTCGTTACGAATCCTCTTTCTATTCGTTTCGCTCCGCTCGCGTTCACCTATATTCTACGCTATCTTTCATAAGTATTCGAACGATTCTCTAATTAGAACGAGTAAAAGATACCACCTCCTATGGTGATTCCGTTGCTAATTAACGCGCGCGTCTTCGGTTAAGCTCGAAAAAGTTCGATATTGAAAGAGAATCGGGGAAAAGTGTGGAAACGCGAGTAGAAGATAAAGGTACGAAATATAATTTTATAATCCGATATTGTCTCGTACACGGAGTTGGAAACATATTTTCGAGGCATTTGAAAAATTGAAAAACTATTTTTTCTCCTATTTTCGTTCGTTCGTAAGTTCGTCGGAGCTGTTGAAATTTCAATGCAAAGAAAAAAAAAAAGAATTTATGAATATTTAACCAATGACGTGGTTAACAGGATACAGGTTCCACGCAACCTTGGACAAGAAAGGCAAATAATCTTGTTACGGGCATCGTTTTAACGACATTAGCGGTCCGACTAGAATCACTTTCCTCGACAATTTCTCGTGAATTACGATTAGCGATCGGTTGGCGTTCTACGCGTTACTATTTTCGTTCGCGATTACCCGCAGCACGCGAATCTGTCTCGTGAATAATTCATGCTCGAACAACGACCGAGGTTCGGTTTGACCGCGAACGTTGACGTCCGCTAGCGTGATCTTGCAGAAATTCGAAAATAGTTGACAACGATCCGCTGTCTCGTTCGACGTTTATCTTTGAAAATTATTATTGAAATTGCGGTCAAGTTAGCTCGCGTTTAAAAATCCGTCCAGTCGTTTAGTCGTTTAGACGAAACGAAATTTCGCGTTTCTATTGCGCCGGAGTTCGGTGGACGCTCGTTAATATGTAAACGACGTGCAAATTTCCGCCTTCTAAAACACGGTAAAAGGTCCCCATCGGTTTTAAGCAATTTGCTTCCGGCACTCGCGAAGTCGCGATTTCGGATAATACGCTCTCGCGAGATCATCGGGGACCGTCGGGCTTCCAAACAAAACGTTATGTAGCCGAGGTTCCGTTTCATTAGTCCGCCCGTCCTTTCCCTGCTTTTCTCGAGCTTTTCCCAAGCTTTTCCCAAGCTTTTCTATTACAACGACCAAGCTAAATGTCGAAAAGCGAGAATTCGGAATTCGGACGTTAACGTTTAAGCGGATGAAATATTTCCGTGGTAGCTCGGCCGTCGTAATCGCGTTAAATATTCAGTATTCGAACCTCGACCGCCCACTTTATTAACGCGTTAACTGTCGCGGAAGTTATATATGACCCGAGCCACGATACAACCGAATATTATAATGGAAAGCAATGTCTCGGAACGTTTTTAATAACAGCGCTATTGATCGACCTTACGGCGAGACGCATCGTTTGGTAACGAAGAAATTTCCTAAATTTCTATACGCGTGCAGCGGAATTTTCAACGGTTCCGCAGCTTCGTTTCCCAATTATTTCTTTGCAAATGCGATAAGGCTGTACCTGGCAACAGAAACGCGTCGCATTTACGCGGCGATGGCGGCGATGGCGGCGATGGCGGCGATGGCGGCGAATGCGACAAACATTTTATAGGTTACGAGCGATCGATTCAGCCGAGTAAAGTTCACTGCTACATCTATTATTAAAGCTAGCCAGAAGCTCGATCCTCGATCCAGTTAAGTCAGTCCATCTGACGGTGTCGTACTACGAGTTGTTTCTTGTATACGAGTATATCGCGATATGGAACTACCTATAACCTTCGCTATCTACGTAAAACGTAGATCGAATGAAAAGTTTTTATTTTAATTTTAATTCGCCGATGGAAAGGATAATTAAATTGATTTGATATTTAACAAGGTAGAATGATAGGAACCTGTTAAATTTCACGTATTAATGCGTCTCGGTAGCATACGCGTGTATACACTGGATCGAGGAGAAAGCGAGTTCCGACTAGGAACAGAGACGGCATCTCTTTTCTCCTTCCTCGATGTCCGACATTGTTGGACGACGAAATCAAGAAGCTGACACGTTTTCGACTTGTTCGATTATCGGAGGAAGAAACGTTTAGATTTAGGTATCGTAAGATTGGAAAGATGTGTTTTAATCGTTGATAGATCGCGTCGTAATCGTGGTGGTTTGTCGAGTTCCGAGCTAAAGCGTCGTCGGTATTCCAAATAACGTATCCGCGAGTAATAGAAAGGAATAGAGTAAGAGCGAGAGAGAGAGAGGGAGGGAGAGTAGCCGTCGATAATAAGCCGTGAAAACTGGTCAAGAGGTATTAAGCAGAAAAACGAGCAAAAGTTTCATCGGCACGAGCTCCGTATTTCCTTGTATGCCGAGTTCCGTCCCAGTTTCGCGTCTTCGATGACTACGCATTATGTCGACGTGTAGATCGTCGAATTATATAATATCGATGCAACTTTAGTTGGAACGATTTTGTTTCATAGATACGGTTTCATAGACACGGATTAGCCTTGCCGAAAAACAACTCTAAGCGCTGTTGTTATCTACGTTCGATGAAATTTCTCAACGGTTTCGTAATAAAACGTGCTTGTCCCTTTAGGAGCGTGGTGCTCTACTCGCGTAGTAAGCACGCGCGAAATCGCATGATCGTCGGTAAAGTTTCGACTTGGAGCGAGTTCGGGCAGGGTTCAGCAGCCGAGTTGTGCCCTCGGAAGCTGCGGTGGAATAGCTCGAGTTACTCGGATTAATTCTCGTTTCTCCGTACGAGGCGGGGAAGTTGATGAAGCGCCGCCGGCATCGGTGTCTGCGTATTAAATGCTCATAAATCCGAAGCACCTGCTAACTAAATCTCTAGTTGCTAGTCGAGTTTCAAAGTTTCAAAGTGTTCGTCCGGTAGTAATGGACGCGCGCGTTAAGTCGAGCAAAAATGAAAAACTGGCACGATTCGTGCCGCGATTTTCTCCAATAACGCCTTTTAAAATCAATTATCGCCGATGAAACTGTGTTGGACTTTCGAACGTCCCGCTGGTCCACTCAGTTTCCTATCGGTAGACCTAATTACGAAACCCGATGATTCGAACGAACTTTCGATATCTGTCGCGTTGCACGTGCAACCATCCCCGGAATGAAGATTAGATCGCTTGTACACGGTACGTTGTAAGCGTCCTCCCTCGAAGTTAGGAGGAAGAGCGTTTAAGAAGAAGCGTTCTCGAAAGCGACGGTCGTTCGGAGTGGAAATGTGTTCGCTATTAAAATAGTGTGCCTTGTCTTTCAGGTCGCGGGTGCTAGCTGATCTAGCTGGGAGAAGGGAAAACTCGCGGTTCGATCGTGGAAAAAGCAGGGAATCCGGTGGTGGAGAGGAGGAAAGAGCAATGGGCGATAGATTGGTGCAGGAACCGGAATGGAAGGTCGAGCGCAAAGGGTCGGCTCTTCTCTTGAGGCGGGACAGTTCGCATCCGAAGAGGAGCCGCGTTTGTTTTCGCTGCGACGTGGAGGTTCGCGAATTCGAGCGTGACGAGGATTACATGGTCGAGAGTGAGCCGGAAGCAGCTGCCAGCCCGTTGGCGATGTGTGCCAGTTGTCTGGCAGCACTCTGCGTGACCGTGATATTGCCTTGGTTGCTAATCGGCGGTTAAACCGCTGACCGATCGAGTCACGATCGCGTATCGATCGATTATCGCGAAAACGTTGCTCCGGAAATTCGACGAATCCAAAGGATGGATTCCTTCGAGGGTTTAACCGCGAAACGAAACTGCTGGCCAGTCGATGCATCTAATTAGGGAGGGAAAGGAGGGGTGTTTTACTTTAAGGTGCAGGGAATCTGGGGAATCGGTGGGTCCTACAACAAGGGTAGAAAAGGGCCTGGAGAGTCGAAGCGACAACGAACATACACTAACGTTAGCCAAACATCGATCGTGGCCGCGAAAAAATGTTCAAACGCCTTACGAGCTAATCATTTCCTAGGAACGTTAAAGAGTAATTTATTAAAGATTAAAATTCATGCGTATAGAAAAAAGTAATTTTATCGACGTAACATAACGGTCACGATTCGTATAAATGCTATGAACGTTTTTCGGTAAACGCGACCTCGAACAATTTCTTCGAAATTACGGAGGAAAGAATATAAAAATAGAAAAGGAACGATTTGCCCTCGTCTACGAAACAATTAGAACCGTGTCTTTGTGTCTATTCGCTGACCCGTCACGTTTTCTTTCAGTTAGTTCTCGCTTCGTTCGACGTAGAAAATACGTGTCTCGAGAGAAACGTGCGGCGCGCGGGTAGACCCCGTGAAAAGTGCGAGAAAGCCTGTAGCGATGCTGGAATTTTCTGTTATTCCGGCGAAACGGTTATTCTGGCTTGCATCGAACCTCGTTCGTTCGACGAGTCGTTGACGGTTCCTTTACCGGTTTTCGCGAAACGCGGTCGATTCGCGTTCTCGACATCTCCGCGAATCTCCGGATGTTTTAATTAAAACGCATGAATCGAATAGCGAACCGAATGGAATAACGTAAGGTGTACCAACACTTTTTCAGGCCTCGTATTTCGATTAACCGTACAAATTACCGTCGAATCTCGCATATAGTATGTCGCTGAAAGGTCTTCGATAAATCATCCGTGTGTACTCGTGCGGAGTTTTACCAGCTTGAAATAGAGAGAAAGAGAGCAAAAAAGAACGAAGAGTTCTAAATATAAATCCAATGATTGATCGTAGGTATGTAAATACAAGTTACACGAAGCGTCGTATTATAGTACGAGCGTGGGAGATATCGAACAAACCACAAAGATCATTGTAAAATACTATTTGTTTATGTTTCTAATAAAAATCTGAAAAAGCAATGAATCGTGAATGGTGTATTTATTTACATCGTTTCCAATTATTCTGTTTGCATCGACATCGACAATTCACCGATGTCCCTGACGATTCGACACTGGCAAGCACACTTTGATTTTCGTTCGATCGATTAATTAATCGTTACATGGACCGAAAATTTCAACGCGTACGGTAGACTCGCGTCATTGCCAGCCGTCGAAGGCGATATGTAATTTACGTCGTTGCGTTGCAACGAGCGGCAGCGAGCGTCGGAGATGTCCGCAAAATAGCCTGTCGTGCAAATGGTATTGTCTCGAGTCTCGTATATCGACGCATTGTATCGCGATTACGTCGACGATGACGCTCATTGTCCTTGAAATGCAACGATGAGCGTACGTTTCGAAACAGGGAACGAAAGGTCGAAAAATGCGGTGAAAAATGTGCAGAAATGTGCAGAAATTTCGCCCGCGAACCTCGATAAAACGCTTAAATTTCGTTTCTCGACTAACCCGCTTGCATATATTCACATTTTTGCTCTGAATTTTTCACCGATTTTCAGCCCTCTTCTGATTTACACGCGATCCGGAATAGTTGAAAAAGAAGAAGCACGTTTAAAAATTCGTTGCGAAATAAATTGAAGATGTTTTATTCGTAGAGATTTTTTCGATGCAATCGAGGAACATGCTCGAGAAACGGATTTATAAATATATTCGCGACACGGATGTAGGACATTTTCCTTTGCAGAATTCGTTTCGTATACGCTGTTGTATCGGGAGCGAAATCCAGTAGCGAGAGTTATCGCGTTTCACCACGGACAAGGTTATTAAATATATTATTTAATTTTAGTTATTTCCACGGATCGGTGGTGCGTGTAGCGGAGTGAATCATCTGTTTGATCTGGATCGAGGTGAACCAGAAATCTGAACGCGCGAAAGAATACGATAGCGGTGATCGGTGTCTCCGGATGTGTCTCGATATTTTTCATTAGAAATATATCGATTTCGAATCTAAGGACGCTTTATTTTCCAATCGAAAAATAAGCGTTCGCGTCGAGAAAAAGAGGGTATCGACGAATATTTCGTGCTCGACGCTTTCGAATGTCGATGTATCGTTTAAAGAAGCGACAAGCCTCGGCTCGTTCGAACGTACACGGTAAAAAAGTGTCCACCTTCGCGTTGCACGTACGTATCGTATTTCGTGTATTCGGTAGCACGTACGAGAATAACGAAGGTTAATTAGACGGGTTGACGCATCGAGCGTTAAATTAATACCGGCACGCTATCCGTGCTCGTTGGGAGAATATACATATGTGTATACGTGGAGTCGAGCATGATCGTGCGCGATCGTTACAAATTGACTCCAATTTCCTTCAATTTGCGAGTGGAACGCGCGACGGAAAAGAGAGAAAAAAAATAAATCGGTGTACCGTGGGCGGCATCTGTCGATCAGGAACAGATCTTTGGCGGGTAAAGTAGATTTTCTTTGGACGGTTGGTTGGCGCGTCGCTCTGATCGTGTCGGTAAGCTTAGTTGGAAATTTCAGCACGGATGTCGCTGACTCGTTTACTCGCGCCGATTCGAATTCTTTCCTACTCCTGCCGCGCTCTCGTTTCTTCGAAATTTCAATTTCTTTGAAATTTTCAAATGCCCCCAACGGAGCCGTAAATCGGTTACGTTTAGTTAACTCTTTCCTATGCTAGCCATTGCGGATCGATATTTAACACGATTCGAACTTTACTGTTTCAGTTGCCGGACCTTGACAACCTCGATGAAAAGGTGAGCCATAGCGAAAAAATTCCTCTTCATTTATCATTCTTAATCACTGTATCGCAGAATAGGTAAGTGACTTTTTTTTTTTTTTTTTAATAACAATCTAATAAATTATTATTATCAATTTCGAATCTAAAAGTTTCGAACGTTTATAACGAGATTTCATGGCAGCTTAGAGATTCTAAGCAGGAATCGCGAATGGACCGTGGTCTTGAATGAATTAAACTGTCGTAAAAGGAGGTTATGTAATCCGCGTGAAAAAGGATACGCGCGAAATCAATAACAACGTATCTCTGGAAAGAAGCACGCGTCGTAAACCGTAAATTCTGAACACCGACGACGCGAGTAAACATTTCGAAAAGATTCTTCTTCTTTACAGTTGCGCGCGCATATACTTCGGTTTGTTTCCCGCAGCGAATTATCGCTACTCGACCGTACCTAACGGTGAATAAAACGAAACTGAACAAGATCTAGGCGTATCGCGATCTATCGAGTATTATCGCGCCGATAACATTAACGAGTCAACGTACGCGTATTTTTGAAACTGCCGAGAACGAAACGAAACAGTCGATCGTTTACCGATAACGGTGAAAATTCTATATTCGTACGTCGCAACGATATCGACACCTCCACCGCGGACGGGTACGGTTCCTCGCAATCGAACGCGACATTTCTCGGAAATCGCGTCTGACACGAGGGGAGAAGGATAATCGATACATTTACGCGTGCATACGATCCCGCGCGAATCACTTTTCATTAGGATGAAAATCGACGGATTGGTTGAAATTCGGTGCGGCGCGGCGCAATGACAGCGAGAGAACTCGAAGGGAAAATAATAGAAAGGATCGATCGATCGAACAAGGAATTATCAATTTTGTACACGGCCGAGAAGCACGCGCAGACTTTGGATTACTCGCATACCATTTATATTTTCTACGCGTCATTTTAGTTGCGATATTAATGTTCCCGTGATAGCAGTCACGTAGTAGCGATCTACTCGATGGATACGAAATACGATCTGTCTTCTTTTTCGATTTCCGATCACGCTCGTTCGTTCGTCCGTCCGTCCGTCCGTTCGTTTTTCGTCGATTATTCGACGCGCAGCTGATTCGATTAATCGTAAACGTTCGATTACACCGTGGTTTTACCGTATCCATTTAATGGATCGTATCGCGAACAAACCTGCGATCGTTTGATCGAAAGGTCCAGATTGTGAGGTAACGCGCGCGGATTATTTTTCTTTTTCTCTAGTCTTTCGACGTTTTTTTCCTTACTTTCGACGGTGTCTAATCGTTAACGATCGGTTTCCGCGTGGCAGACACCTACGAGCCCGATCCATCGTGCACCTCGACAGACCGGTTTCCTTGAATAATCGACCAATTAGCGTAAAGCAGCGATACGTTGCTCAATCTTGTTAAAATAAGCAGTAAACCGGCTGGTGATGGAATCACGCGCGGATTAAACAATCGGATCGACAATAAACGCGTGGTCGTCGTCGTCGTCGTCGTATCGTATTCGAATGTTAGTTGTCTAATAAATCTAACGACTTTTCGTTTGGCCGTTAACGTGTATTTCGGCCGTGGACGGTGAACCGGATAATTTAGTCGTAATTTAGAGGCCTTGTAGAAATTTCTTTCTCGTAGAAACGTAAAAGATATTTGGCATTCGACGCGCGAAAACGATCGGTCGGGACAAAGTTTGGGAAAACATCCCGCGAGTGGAAAGAACGATAATCGTTTACCGGTCGATTGGTCGAAACGTCGATACGCAGACACTATCGTTAGTTTTCGCGGACGATTAATATTCCAAGGTGTACGTAGCTGCGTGCATTTACCTAGGAGCTGCGCAACAACGCGTTCTCGGCTCGCGGCGTTACGCAATTCGGCTCGCGGAATAATTCTCTTCGAGTCTGCGACGCGACGACGTTGTTCTAGTAGTTGTCTAGTTAACTCGGTCGTCGAACTCTCTCTGCTCGTTTTCGACTCGAAGTGCTAATGTCTTTTTACGGAATCCCTGGAAATTTCTTCACCTTTCGAATAATCGAATCGACGAACGACCAGCAACATTTTGTCGGACGATAATCGCGTCGACCGAAGCGGCCGTTGTCGGTAAATAGAAAATCTTTCGAGATCTCTGAATTGCAGCGAGCAGCAGAGAAATCGGGTTAATGGTTTTTGGCAGATGGTGCGCGAGGATCGGTCGTTGAGCTCGACAGAATTTCCAAGAATGACGAAATTTAATGAAAAATTTAGCATCTACGATGTAGCTCGAAACGGGGCGCGTACGATGTAAATATTAAAGCGACTAATCGAATTCGGGCTGGATCGTTCGCCGAACAAACAAATAAATTCGTTGGAAAATCGAAGTAATTCGATTTTACTCGTTTATTACTCGTTTCCCACTAGTACTAGTACTCGTTTCCCACAATAGCTTCTGTGTTGCGTAATTACTATTCGATATTCGAGCCTGTAAGATCCTTGGTGGATAGAGAGGCGAGCGTTCGCATAGGAGGTTCGCGGTGCAGGCGCAAAACCGACCGTAGGCAGGCGCCTTTAGAGGTTAAGAAAATATCTGTGTCAGTAGCTGCGATCGCGATCGGTCGACCGGTTGCCAGATACCTATTGGATACGCGATGTAAACAGGATGGAATTTGCATGCATATTCAACGGAGCCTGCACGAGAGCGTCGAGGTCGCGGCGCGGTTCGTTGAAACTGTCGCGTTCGCACCGCCGCGCCGCGCCGCGCCGCGCCGCGCCGGTAAAGGCGGATTTTCGATGTTTGCCGGTAGTACGAGGCAACGAATATTATCGGTCAATAATATTAACAGCAATTTCATTTTAACCCAGCATTCGTCGAGTTGTCCGGGACGCTTCCCTCTTTTATATTGTGTGCAAATTCGTTGGCGAATCGACGGTTACGCCGCGTCGGTGAACCGTCGCTGTACTTTATGCCGTTGTTTATCTATTAATCGATCGGCGTAACGATCGTATCTACCAGCCGTATATGGCCGGTGTTGGTAAGCAACGCTGGTTGCCAAATCGCGCGGCTGCTATTAATAAATGCATAATCGTTTACGTAACGAACACGTAGAAGCATCGCTTCTTCGCTCTCGCGTATCCGCCGTGAAAGATTTTCTGGATAAGAAACGCTTCGGCGGTGTAAGTTCGTAATAGATTAGCGATATCTAATAGGTTGTCAGTTATGGCGGCGATGCGGTGTCCATTCGACGCCGTGAACGCGTAACTATACGAGACACGCTCCGCTATCCGACTCGAACCACTTGTGCTCGCTTGTTTTATCGGCTGTCGCGTCTGATGGATCGAGAAACAATCGCGAGCATTGTGCGATCTGGAACGAGGAGGGAGAACGAGGAGGGAGAACGAGGAGGGAGAACTCGAGACGAATCTCGAGATAAGCGTATGCGACTGTTTATGTAGCTAGCTAATAGGTAGCTAATCGGGACGTAAACGGAACAGAGCGTAAACGATTTCGAGTAAATCTTTGGGAAATTGGATGGTAGTTAACACCGAATAGGCATTCACGTTTTCCGTATCTCGTACGGCGTACGCGATACGACTAACCCGTTATGTCTAATGGCACGGAATGGGTGTAGAGATAGTCTCTGTCTCGTAAACGCGTTGTTTAACGAAACGCGCTGTTCGAAATTGACGGCAGAATTGGACATGTTCCGTCCCGTGTCTTGACGATATTCGATGGCGGTGCGATCCGACACGGAACACGAGTCGCGAAAAGCTGGCTGTACGCGTGTACGAGAAAAGGAAGTTGCCGTTCGACGAGAGTGAAACTTTGAATGGCCGGTTAAGCGAACCGAGTCAAGGACGAGGCGAGCTTTTCGAGATAGCCAGATCGCCGTTCTACCGTCTCGCGTTATTCGAGAGGAAAAGCAGAAACAGCTCTTCTCGTTTCTCGTTTGTTCCGTTTGCTCGAGGCTGTTTCGAAACGATTCTTTTCGTCGTTCCTTCCATTATGCGATTTGCATCGATTTATGCGAAGCGACCGTGAAACACGATGAATCGTTGGAAAACAATGATGTCATCGAGTATCGGAGCACGTAAGCGGCTACGCCACCGCGCGAATTTTTCTTCCTCGAGATGGATACCTAGATACGTGTACCTAGATTCGTGGACTGTCATTAATTTCGCTATCGTTAATAACTACCGACCGAAAGCCGGTCGTAATGAGCTCGTTGTATTTAATCGACGAACGGTGGAACGGGATCTCTTTCCCTTCGTTACTTTATCCTGTCTACGCGTTCACCCTTCGAACCGACCAGTTATTTCACATTTATTAAGACATCGTTGCTCTCGATTCATCCGACTTATCTCGATCGTGCCTAGGATCGTTTGATCCTCGAATCCGTTTCGATTCTACATATTTCGATATCGAAAATAGCGAATCGTCACGGAGAATTGGATCGAAGCGGGAGTTCGATCGCGAAGGAAAGATGCAACGGCGTGGTGCCGAAGCTTTTTCATCGGGTCGTTATCGCTCGAAAGAGGGTTCGACGATTTATTGGCGAGCTCGTCGATAAGATGCCGGCGAATAAATCGCTCGTAGAATGCACCGATTCAAATGAAATTCGAGGAAAAGAAACCGAGATCGAGAACGAGAGATTATTTCTGGGCCCTTTCGTATAAAAACAAACGTTTATAGAAGCAACGTCGTTGGATACTTGTTTCGGATAATAGCGTACGTGTTAATGGTTTTGATCGCGTTACGTAATCCGTTTAAAAGCGGCGAAAAGAAACGAAAGCGTGAAGAAAAGTGGCACGCTTGCCTAGTTACAACAGCAAATGTAATAGGTAGCCAATATTTTCTATCCTCTTTCGCTGGATCGTTCTATACGCTCGAAGTAACGCGCTCGACTCTAATCGACTCGTTGCGCGCGATTACTTCTTCCGATCGGTTGTAAACGCGCGAAATCGTTATTAGCGAATATACGTATATGTATATACATATATTAGAATTCCGATGTTACTCGCATA